AGACAGTAGACAGCCTCCAATCGCGGGGAGTGACGTTCGCTTCTTGTTGACTGTGTCCCAAGGCTTCTTCACTATCGTCAGGGCACGCTTGGGCACCTTGACCCAGTCATAATAGGAGGGAGGCGGAACGACTCCTGACATAATGCCATGCACGGGTGTTTCCTTCATGGCAATTTTCCCGATGACAGCCTGGCTGGAGCCGTCCAAAGGCCATGGACAAGTCATGCAATTATCGCTGCCAAGATCAATTACCTGACGGTTAATAACAGTTTGCCCCTTGCCCAGCCCACTTCTTTGTTTACTGTTAGTCAATCGATGGTGATTCGTCAGGTGACTACTAATTTAAGGTAATCGATAAGGCGGCGGAACCCCGCCAAAAGCGGTGAGTCAAGGGAGAATACTGCCGGGAAGCCCCCTCTAGGCGGTGTGACGCGGGAAGTTTCGAGGATGAACCAGAAGGTTCGACAGGCAGCACAAGGGACAAAAGCTTGGGCTTCAGGAATAGGCATAACTAAGAGTAATTGCCCCAGGTTGAGTCAGATTCTGGGAGGTAGAGCAGTATAAGAAAACTTATGAGATTGATGATCGTGTGCCCATTGAGACTATAGAATCCTCAGCTTACTGCAGATCGTACGTGCCCAAAATTGTCAGGAAGGAAAAAAATTCTGACTGACCGCTTGACGACACAGAAGAACCCACGTTTGACCCTAGCCACAGCTCATCCGCTTATCACCGCGCCCTGATAGCAAGTGGCGCTATTGCAAATTCTCCCCTCTTCGCTCTTTTCTTGCTTAGGATCTTCCAACGTTTCCCTCCAACCTCAATATAGACAACATCCTCCCCCCAACACCTCCCCGCACCATCCCCCCCTTTCTTACGGTCCGATTCATATTCATCGCCTAATTTATCCACACAATGAGTGTCGTCGGTATCGATTTCGGTGCCCAGAGCACCAAGGTCGGTGTTGCACGGAACAAGGGTATTGATATTGTGCGTATATGCCCCTCAGCTGCATTTGTTCATTTTGAATCAATTGCTGGAACAGCTCGCGCTAACGCTTTTGTCTATCCACAGATTACCAATGAAGTCTCCAACAGATCTACTCCGTATGTGCAAACTTTCCCATCAGATGTCTGCCCTCATATCGCGGTGCTGACTATATTTTCAATGTAGGACTCTGGTCGGATTCGGCGCCAGAAGCAGAAACATTGGCGAGGGCGCAAAGACACAAGAAATGTCCAACCTGAAGAATACGGTCGGCAATCTCAAACGTCTCATCGGCCGTTCATTCAACGACCCCGATGTGGAGGTTGAGCAGAGGTACACCTCTGCGACTATCTGTGATGTAAACGGTCAGGCTGGTGTTGAAGTGAGCTACCTGGGCAAGAAGGAGAAGTTCTCGGCGACGCAGCTGGCTGCCATGTACCTGACCAAGATCAGAGACATCACATCCAAGGAGCTGAAGCTCCCTGTCTCCGACGTCACAATCAGTGTTCCCGCTTGGTTCACAGATGCTCAGCGCCGCGCCATGATCGACGCCGGTGAGATTGCCGGTCTCAAGGTTCTGAGACTCATCAATGACACCACTGCTACCGCCCTCGGCTACGGTATCACCAAGCTTGACCTCCCCGGTCCCGAGGAGAAGCCCCGCAGAGTGATGTTCGTCGATATCGGTCACAGCGACTACACTGCCTCCATTGTTGAGTTCAGAAAGGGTGAACTCAACGTCAAGGCTACCGCCTACGATCGTCACTTTGGTGGTCGTGATTTCGACAGAGCCCTCACCGAGCACTTTGCCGATGAATTCAAGGAGAAGTTCAAGATTGACGTCCGTTCCAACCCCAAGGCGTATGCCCGTACCCTTGCCGCAGCCGAGAAGATGAAGAAGGTTCTCTCCGCCAACCCTGCTGCCCCTATGAGCATCGAGTCTCTCATGGAAGACGTTGATGTCCGTTCCATCGTCAAGCGCGAGGAGCTCGAAACCATGGTCAAGCCTCTGCTTGACCGTGTCACCGCTCCCATTGAGGAGGTTCTTGCTGAGGCAAAGCTTAAGCCCGAGGACATTGACTCGATTGAGATGGTCGGTGGCTGCACCCGTGTCCCTGCTATCAAGGATGCCATCGCCAAGTATTTCGGCAAGACCTTGTCCTTCACCCTTAACCAGGACGAGGCCATTGCTCGTGGTTGCGCCTTCAGCTGTGCCATCCTCTCCCCTGTCTTCCGTGTCCGTGACTTCTCCGTGCACGACATTGTCAACTACCCCATTGAGTTCACCTGGGAGCAGTCGGCCGACATCCCCGACGAGGACACCAGCCTCACTGTCTTCAACCGTGGCAACGTCATGCCTTCGACCAAGATCCTCACATTCTACCGCAAGCAGCCTTTCGATTTGGAGGCTCGCTATGCTAAGCCCGACATGCTTCCTGGCAAGATCAACCCTTGGATTGGCCGCTTCTCCGTCAAGGGTGTCAAGGCTGATGCCAACGACGACTTTATGATCTGCAAGCTCAAGGCTAGACTGAACCTGCACGGTATCCTGAACGTCGAGTCTGGTTACTACGTTGAGGATGTGGAGGTTGAGGAGCCCGTTGACGAGGACAAGATGGACACTGATGCTCCCGAGGGCGAGCAGCCCAAGAAGACGCGCAAGGTCAAGAAGCAGGTTCGCAAGGGTGACCTGCCAATCTCCACCGGCACCAACGGCGTTGACCAGACGGTCAAGGAGACCTGGATCGAGCGTGAGAATGCTATGTACATGGAGGACAAGTTGATCGCCGAGACCGACGAGAAGAAGAACGAGCTGGAGTCGACCATCTACGAGCTCCGTGACAAGATCGACGGCGTCTATGCCGAGTTTGCCAACGAGGAGGAGAAGGACAAGCTGCGTGCCAAGCTGACCGATATGGAGGTGAGTACAATGTTCCCGATTATTTCATTCAAGCAAGGAACTCAAAGCTGACGCTCTACACAGGACTGGCTCTACGAGGAGGGCGAGGACACTACCAAGTCCGTCTACGTGGCCAAGCTGGATGAGATCCGCTTCATCGCTGGCCCCATCGTCCAGCGGTACAAGGAGAAGATCGACGCCGAGCGCCAGGCTATCCTGAAGGCCCAGGAGGAAGAGGCGGCCAAGAAGCGCGCCGAAGAGGAGGCCAAGCGCAAGGCTGAGGAAGAGGCCAAGAAGGCGGAGGAGACCAAGCCTGATGAGGAGATGAAGGATGCTCCCGCAGAAGGCGAGGCGGCCCCTGCTGAGGGCGAGGAGAAGCAGCAGTGAAGAAAAGTCTTTTACCCTTTCGATATTAAATGAGTACGACTCTCGCATATAAAGCCTGATGACAATGGCCATGAAACGGTGAAGCAATACATCCGATACATGATTCTCTTTTCTTGTGAAACTTGTTATATCTTCTCTGTTACATTTTATGCTGTAGAATGTTGTCTTGGTGGTATTGTTTTTCACAACCTACCTAATCATTTGGGCACTAACACCTACATGGAGCGGCTGAACTGAAGCTGAGGGCTCGCGTGACTGTCGCCCTATCAGATTATGATTCATGAGAAAAAAGCACACGACAGAAGACTTAGATATATGAAGCATGGATAGATTTAAGGCAGCCAATTTGTTCTCTTGTTCTCTTGTTTTCTTTCGTCGAGTTGATGTAACCATGTACAACGTAATATCCTTATACTCCCGACTTGACGTGTCATATCACTTGACCTTGGCCCGATGTCGTGCTTTCGCCTCTTTTTTCCGATGGGGTTAGCTCCTCGCGGAATCGCGTCAAGCCGTCAAGCCAGTCTGGATGGCTGACATTCCGGCGGACCGACTCATCGCACCCTTCCGAACCCAAGGATCTTGGCGGGTGTTTCAAGCATGACCAGCCATTGCGGTCATATTCAGCTCGTTACCGGCGAGTCGTAGTTATGTCTTAAGTCCGGTGACTCCGCCCTATGGGTAAACAAGCTTGGACTGTGCTGGTGGATTTTTCTAGCACGGCTGAATCATACTAGGTCGTCTAGTGGTACCCAGTTACCGTGGGATACCTAAAGGCTTGGAAGCTAAAAGCTGCATATGTTCCCTTTTTTGATAGTGGCTGATGACTCATGAATTGTCGCCTAAATCTGATGGCACAAAGGATACTGCTGTGTTGACCAATTAGGCTTCAGCATAGCCACATCATTATGACTTGCAACTGCAGTGGAACCTGAAACCAGCAGTGCACTCCGTAGACTGCTTACTCTAACGTACCGGATGGTTCCAGAATCTCCGTCTTCCCTCTCCTGAAGTTGAACAACAAAGAGTACCACTTACTCAAGTCACTCATTCCATGAATCAATTTCAACTTAGTTATTTGCTTTGAAATACAGATTTCAAGACAATCTGCCAGCGAAGAGGTCAATGAAATAATAATTCCCAGGGATGACTCACGGCGCAAAGCCTCATTTGTCATCGATCTGACATCGAGTCTGGCCGACCCGATCATTGGCTCCTTATTTTCCAGGTTCATCCTCGTATTTGGGGCTTCCGCCAGGAAAGTCCTAGACTCAGAGTACCCAGGACCGGAAAATTTGCTAATGCAGAACGTAATCGGCCTTTTCTGCGACCGATGTCCGATGTCAGAAGTTTCCTGTTAGGGTAAACACGGTCCAGAAGTGGCTCATTTCTTCGTATAGGAGATTAACGTTATGGTCATGGACGGCGTGAGCCTCCTAGAAAAAAATTCCTGTGACCTGGGTAAACCGATTCCTCCGTCCCCCGATCCAGCCCGTAATTACGGAGTAGTCCATCTCGAGGAGACATCGAGAAAATTCTTATATAATATCTCAAGAGCTGTCCTTGTGCAGTCAGTTTCTCAACTTTCTCAATTGAGGTGAACATCACACAGAACTTCTGGCATCCTTCTTCTTTCTTTCGCTTGAAGGGATCACCTTGCGCGGGTACATCTTATCTTGCTCATCACATCCCGGCATACATATCTCAGCAAACAGACGAAATCAAGATGACAGCGTCAGCGTCCAGCGTCACGGACGTCGACATCGAGAACGTCCCGAAGGAAAAACTGGACGTCAAAGAAACCGAAGAACAACCTGAGATCGAATACCCTCCACTTTCCAAGGTCGTCGTCATCATCCTCGGTCTGTATCTCGCTGTCTTCCTGGTAGCCCTCGACCAGACCATTATCGGAGTCGCCATCCCCAAGATCACCGATCAGTTCAAGAGTATTGAAGACATTGCCTGGTATGGCAGTGCCTACTTCCTCACGTCGACTGCGCTGCAACCGTCGTACGGCCGCATCTATAAGATCTTTAGTGTTGGTTTCCTCCCGTGCTGCATGTGCTGACTGCTGGGTCGTTGCTAATGGGTGAACCTGCATAGGTCAAATGGGCCTTCTTGATAGCCGTCCTCATCTTCGAAATCGGATCGCTCATCTGCGCTGTTGCACCGTCGAGTACCGTTTTGATTGTTGGCCGAGCTATTGCGGGTATCGGTGTTGCGGGTATCTTCTCCGGAGCCATGGTCATCATCTCAGTGACTGGTAGGTCATTCTGCGTATTTTCTGGGAAAGACGCCAATCTGACTCTTGAATAGTGCCTTTGCCTAAGCGACCTCTTGTTTTCGGTATGTTTGGCATGGTCTGGGGTATTGCCTCGATTGCCGGACCTTTGCTCGGCGGTGCGTTCACCGATGGTGTTTCATGGCGCTGGTGCTTCTATATCAAGTGAGTGGACGCCGCATACCCTTTTCCACCCTGTCACAAAATACTGACCGCTGCAGTCTTCCCATTGGAGGTGTCTCGCTCGCCGTCATCCTGTTTGTTCTCCGACTCCCCGACAAGAACGAGTTCTCCGGCACTCCCATCCTCGAACGGATCCGGCAGCTGGACCTCATCGGCGCCGCTCTACTCATCCCCGCCATCATCTGCCTCTTGCTCGCCTTGCAATGGGGAGGAAACAAGTACCCCTGGAACAACTCGCGGATCATCGGCCTGTTCGTCGGCTTCGGCCTCATGGCTATCCTCTTTGCATTCTCGCAGGTCAAGATGGCCGACAAGGCCACCCTGCCACCACGCATGTTCAAGAACCGCTCCGTCCTCGCCGCCACGCTCTATGCTCTGTTCTTCGGCGGTGCCTTCTTCGTCCTCGTCTACTACCTCCCCATCTTCTTCCAGAGCGTCAAGGATTCCTCCGCCATGAAATCCGGCATCCAACTCCTGCCCCTGATGCTAGCCACCGTCGTGAGCTCGGTTGTCATGGGCGGCGCAGTCACCGTCGCGGGCTACTACACGCCGTTCCTGATCGGTAGCACTGCCATCGCCGCCATCGGAGCCGGTCTCATCACCATGTACGAGATCGACATCTCCACGGGCAAGTGGATCGGCTACCAGATCGTCCTGGGCGCAGGTGTTGGCGCCGGCTTCCAGATTCCCATGACGGCCGTCCAGACCGTCCTGCCGGCAGAGGATATCCCCATCGGCACGGCGGCGGTCATGTTCTTCCAGACACTGGGCGGCGCGCTGTTCATCGCAGTGGCGCAGTCGGTTTTCCAGAACGGCCTGATCTCCGGGTTGGCCAAGTATGCCCCCACTGTTGACCCGGCGGCGATTGTCAAGGCGGGCGCCACGGAGATGAGACCCGTGCTGATTAAATTGGGCCAGCTGGATCAGCTCATGAACGTGATCAAGGCCTATATGGATGGATTGCGGGCTTCATATCGTGTCAGTTTGGCGCTGGTGCTGGTCGCGTTTGTGGTCAGCTTGTTGATGGAGTGGAAGAGCGTCAAGACGGCGAATAATGGAGAGAAGAAGGATGTTATGGTGGCTGCCATTTAGGGTTGTCATCCACAGACTTTTTCATCTCTTCATTCTTCGTCTTGCATTTCTTCAGGCAAAAACCAACATAGATCCAGAGAGTTAGAAAACTGGCGGAAATGGGCGGATGGGCTTCTTATTAACTAACGACCTGATTCATGATATGTACTTAATTATGCACTTTTCTATTTATATTATACTAATGTCTACTCCACTCGATTTCTATGTGCCAGATATCTGCTCCGGAGCCTCCGGAGTACCCAGTTGTAAATGGTTTATGCTACGAGTTTGGTGCATAAGGCCATACATGTCATGCATTGTGCTGCCTGGATAAAAGGGCACCTGTTCTGCCGAGAATTTGTACTCCGTCTGCCCAGTCAGTGCCAGTGCCCAGAGTCCGAGACAGCCAGACTATTCCATCCAGCGTACCCAAGCGGTGGAGTCGGTCTTGGCTGTTGCATTACATCCTGATTGGAATTTGGATGTAACGAACAAATGAGTACAGAGTAGAATTGAGCATTGATGTAGCATTGAGATGGGTGATTGAATGGCGATGTGATATTATCACTATTATGACTCGGCGATTGCATGGATCATAGATGGTGGCTGGTGGCTGATGGTATCTACATGATTCAGGTAATAGGGTACGTACATAGGAGTACCGAGAAAGCCGACTTTGATGGCCGATGCTGTTCCTGGTCTAGTCCCTTGGCAGTAATTCCGTGCGTCGTCTCTCCCCCTCAGCCAGGGATGAATATTTTGACTCGGGTATGCCAGGGTCAGGATAAATAATAATGGAGAATTAGCCTGCGTAGTCTCTCAGTAGACATCCTGACGCATTATGGTTGTCTTTCAACTTGTCCAGCAACAGTAATATTAATGTAGTATACTGGAGGAACAGTGCCAAGTGGAGCGAACAAAACCGGCAAGTTGGCACGCGACGAAGGGGGCACTAAAGATCCTTGATGGGGATCATCCATGGTTCTTCACCAAATCACCCATCCTTGTGTTCCGTTCTGGGAGGTCTTTTCTGCTGTCTAGTCTATCTGATGACGGCATCCCAGTACGAGTGCGAACTATGAACCCTCTGTTACCTTCTCTGTAGATAGTTCAGTTCCTCCATGATGTAACACTCCGCCTGCATTCACTTCGTCAACCACGGAATCCTCTCTCATCCCTCTGTCACTCCTTGCCCTGTCACCCCTATCGCCAACTGTCCTGCTCCAGCTTCAAGTGGATCAATCTCCCTTTGGCCCCGTTTTTGGGAGAATCTTGGGGGAAAAAAAGAGCCATTTGGCGGCGGAGTCGTCGGATCAACCACTGGGGACTCACTGGACCGTTGCGATGCTTCCTACTTTCTACTTGACTATCATTTAATCTGATCGTCCTCGCCTATTCCTTCTTAGTCTTTCTTTCTTGCTCTCGCTCTAATTCCTCATTCTCTATCTAATTTAATCTTATTGCATTAATCGTCACATTCTCATATACCACCCCTACACTTGATAGCCGTAGGCTCTGCAGTCTAATTATACTAATTCAAAGCACGCGATCACGACATTTTCCATTTACTCCCAATTCCACAGTTGTATAACCATCAATTAGCTGCGGATTATTTTGGACTACTCACTGTCGAGCAATATCCAGTGGCGCATTCCGACAATCCAGGATGCGAACAGAGACGTGACATCCGCCGGCCCCAGATACTCCTCCTTGACCACTTCGATACTCAGTGATTCACAGCAGACATGGTCACATTGATTCTACGGCTCATCATTTTTGCGATATGGTCAGCAGAGGCCGTCGCATCTCCCGTCCGTTCCTCCGGCGAGGACAGCAGCAAGCAGCAGCATGTCAACCATGGCAACATCCTCACTCACGAACCTGAATATGATCCCCTGTGGGAAAAGTACGGCCTAAACAAGTCGCAAGAGTACAAGTACTTTCATGAACCAGGCAATGACGACATCCTGGGCCACTACGATACGCGCTTCTTCACCGAACCCGTCCCGGACAGAGAGCGCTCCGAGACCATGACGCATATGATTCGCGCTTATCTGAACTTTTTCAATGAGCATGGCCTGCAGACTTGGATTGCGCATGGCACATTACTGGGGTGGTGGTGGAATGGCAAGGTACTTTAATCGTTGCGCATAAAGTTCAGGGACTGATAGCTAACGTTGGCGACGGGTGTAGGTGCTGCCCTGGGACTGGGATATCGATACACAAGTGCTGGATACCACGCTGCTGCAGCTGGCTGACAAGTTCAACCAAACCGTCGTCCACTACACGGCTGCCGACTCCGACGTGGAACGGAGCTACCTCCTCGACGTCAACCCCTGGGCTCGACAGCGCGAACAGGGGCAGGGACTCAACATTATTGATGCGCGGTGGATCGACAGGCGGACGGGTCTCTACATTGACATCACAGGACTGAGTAGGCTGGATCCGACAAAACCAAGTCTGTGGCAGGACAAAAACAACCACAAATATCAGACAGGGGACATTTACCCCCTGCGCAAGACGACTTTTGAAGGCGTACCGGCCCAGATTCCCTTCGACTACGACTCTGTATTAATCGCAGAATATACTCAGAAGGCGTTGACGAGCACCAAGTACCACAAGTAAGTATTCTCCTGAATTTTTTACACCTAAATCTCGTGACTGATTGATACAGTCACACATGGTATCCTGACACGGAACAATGGGTTTCCGACAACGACAAAATCGCCAAAGACAAGCTGAATGACGATCGCCAATATGAGAGGCGGTGATTGCGACATCTTTCTCCTTAAAAGCAACCAAGTTAATCCAGATATGGTCGTTATCTTCACATACTGTGGACATGGATCTTCATTCGCATATAGCATTTTGCCCACTGATCTGCTGAGGAGGTTTGCGTGCTTTTCAGGATTTACCTCTGGCACATGGGCTGGTGTTTGGTGTTCTTTGACATTTCCTGCTGGTGTATTCTATATCTAACATCCTGTACATAGCCCAGACGCGTTCAGCGTCACTTCGTTGCATAATCCTGCACCACGAATACTCGAGAAGCCATTGCATTCACACTTGAATGATCATGGTTGTACGTAAAAGTTTCCCCAGGGGTATTCCAGCGCAATCGTTCGCTAAATACCAAAATACCGAAAAGAGCATAGCGATTGACTTCAGACACTAGTGCGCTAGTTAGAGCACATTAGATTGCGCTGATCCCACGAGCTCAGGGGTCTGCTTCCCTGCCTGAGGATTCAGGAGTCAGGAGTCAAGCATTTAGGTCATGTGATGCTATCGGCTTATCTCTTATCTCCGCGCTGACAAACGCAATCGCCGTGGAACGTAATCGAAGTGTTGCCTCCAGCATATATTCAACTCCAATCTTGCATCCAGTCCCTTCATTATTTTCATTTTACGCAGATCGCGCTCATTTTGACTGCAAGAGCTGCAACATGGCGGAGCCTTCATCGCAAGATCTGACCCTAACGGTCCACCACCATGGCAAGCCACACACCTTCACCCTCCCCGCAGACGCAACGCTGCAAGACCTCTCCTCTTCCATCGCCGACACCCTCAACATCCCCATCGAGAACCAGAAACTCCTCATCGCCCCGAAACCAGGCATGCAAAAGCACCCTTTTGCGCCGACCCCGCTGTCAACTCTCCTCCCGCTCACCTCCCCCAAATTCAAACTCACCCTCCTCGGCTCCCCCGCCCAGGAAATCGAGTCCCTGAACGCCCAAACAGCCGAAACCCGCCGCCGCCTCGAAGCCCGCGCGGCCGCCGCAGCGCAACACCGCTCCAAGCGCCCCGCCCCAGCCACAGCGGGCGGCGTCCACACCCTCTCAAGCGCCGGCAGCAACACCTACACCTTCCACCGGCTCCTCCCGCTCTCGTACCTACCCAACCCGTCGCGGTCACTGGAGTTCCTGGCCCGCCTGCGCGACGACCCGGGCATCCGCGCCGCGATGGCAAAGCACCGCTTCTCGGTCCCGCTGCTGACGGAGATGGATCCGGCGGAGCATACCACGAGCGAGTCCCGGACGCTCGGCCTGAACCGGAATAAGGGCGAGGTGATCGAGCTGCGGCTGCGGACCGATGCGTACGACGGCTACCGCGATTACCGGACGATTCGCAAGACGCTGTGCCATGAGTTGGCGCACTGTGTGTTTAGCGAGCATGATCGGGATTTCTGGGATTTGACGGCGCAGATCGAGAAGGAGGTTGAGCGGGCGGATTGGAAGCATGGGGGGAGGAGGTTGACCGATGAGGAGTTCTATAACCCCGGGGATTGGGAGCGGGAGAAGGATGCGACTGTGGTGGATGAGAGGGGGTGGACTGGGGGCGAGTTTGTGCTAGGGGGGTTGAGGGACGAGAGTGGTGGTGCGGAAACTCGGCGGGAGATCATAGCTCGCGCCGCGGAGGAGAGGATGCGGAGAGAGCGGGAGCGGGAGAGGGAGAGGGGAGGAGCACAGGGAGGTGATACATGATGTTTCATCGGAGATGGACCTACGACATGGCATGATGTAACGATTTTAATACCCTTGCATTTTTGTATTTGCATTTGGAAAGATTGAGATAGACATATATACATTAAATCTGCTCGTTCACAAACAAACCAGCCATTCCCTGGCCAGTGCCGATGCACATACTCGTAACCAGGACCTTGCTCTTCGTCCGTCGGGCCTCGCTGAGAATCGTGCAGATCTGACGGGCACCCGTCGCGCCCAGCGGGTGGCCGAGCGCAATCGCACCACCGCGCGGGTTGACCTTGGCATGGTCCAGACCGAGATTCTTCAGGCAGTACACAGCCATCGAAGCAAAGGCCTCGTTGATCTCGTAGATGTCGATGTCGTCCTTGCTGAGGTTGAACTTGGACAGCAGCTTGGGGATTGCCGCCGTGGGACCAATGCCCATCACCCGCGGCGGCACACCGGCGACAGTCGCGCCGCAGAACTTGGCCAGGATGGGCTGGTTGAGCTCGATGGCCTTGGAGCGGCGCATGAGCAGGATAGCAGCAGCTGATAAATTCCCATCAGTACATCGACATGAAACGCAGTGGAATGGCTGTAAGGCTTACCTCCATCAGTAACCTGACTGGCATTACCGCCCGTCGTCCGGTTTCCAAACTGCGGGAACGCAGGCCGGATCTTGTTCAGCGCTTCAACGGTAGTACCATACCGAATGCCCTCGTCGCGGGTAAGAGTCACGGTCTTGACCTCCCCAGTCTTGGGATCCTTCACCTTAGTCGTGATGGGGACGATCTCATCATCGAACCAGCCCGCCTTCTGCGCCGCCTCGGCCCGCCGGAACGACTCCGCCGCGTACGTGTCCTGCATCTCGCGCGAGATGTTGAAGTCGGCGCCCACGTTCTCCGACGTCTGGCCCATGGGCTGCATACAGTCCGCCGCCTCCTGGTTCTTCAGCACCTCCTCGTTGAACGGCCGCGGCAGCCGGTCGCCGCCTGCAGACATCAGCTCCGCGCCAACCGCGACGCCCACGTCGATCGCGCCCAGCTGGATCTGGTTCGCGATGTCTTGCACCGCCTTCAGACCCGACGAGCAGAACCGGTTGACCGACGACGCGCCGGCTGTGTGGGGGATCCCCGCGGCGAGAGCGGCCGCGCGCACGAGGTAGGCGGCTTTGCCGTCGTTGACCTGACACCCGTCAACTTCAAAACTTCTTGGATAACAAATGAAACAAGTGGAAAACGTACATTGCCCAGACAGACGTCCTCGATGAGCGCAGGGTCGAGCTTCGACTTTTGCACTACCTCCTTCAACAGAGCGTAGATCATGTAGTCCAGCTCGGTGTCCTTGAAGCCGCCCTTGGCGGCCTTGGTAAGCGGCGTCCGCAGCGCAAGGGTGATGACAACGTCATCGGGGTTCTTCTGGGTGCTGGCGTTGGTCAGTATGTGATGATCCGCGGTTGGGCCAGGGATGAAGCATACATGGCGGAGACTCCGCTTCCGCCGGAGGGGCGGAGGTGGTTCAGAAGTGAGCTTAGACGGTCTGCGGCCATTGTGACGGTAATTCTATGGGTTGTAAGTGTGAGTCGACAGTGGAATGAATATTATAGAGTACAACGCTGAGTGGCAAAGCAAGGATCGAAGGTGATCATTGATCACCTTGGGTCTGCGGGGAAGCTCAAGTATGTGGAGCTCTAACTAATGGGTAGACTCGGGGCAAAGCAAGTATGACTTACGGGGTATATACTCAAAAGTCGAGACTGAGGGAGGGAGGAAGGAAGGAATCGCGGGAGATTTTTGAGCAGGGAATCAGAAGATATCAAGTGTTATGGAAGAAGAGGCAAAAGTTGAGGTTTATCTACTGCTGCAAAGCCGAGCGGGAGCCGAGGCTCATCATGTCCAAGCACATCCGACACGTACCCAGACTTTGTTTCACCGCACCCAATAGGTGGCACACTTGGTACAGTGACTTTCAATTTCTCTTACCCGAGATTATGCGATTCTTTCAAGGTCAAAGCAGACTTCGTGTTCGTTTTCTAATCAAAACTCGCTTCGAAACAATTGGGTAGCCTATTATCTACATAGACGTCCTCGGAAATTAGAGCAAACTAAAATGATACCCCAAGTATAACGCCAAAGACCACGAACTCCGTCCAGCCAGATCCAACTATTCCGTACAAATGCCCTAGTATCCCAGTCCATAGTTTCAGCTATCTTCTACGCCTCAAAATCCGTGGTGACCCAAGTCTTCGTTGCTAACGACACTACCAACCTCCGACCAACTGGCTGGAGTGGCAACACCATCGATGGACCTTCCGAGGTCACTGAGAGTACCATCTGACGTTGCGTCATCAGCGGACTCATAAACGTGGCTGAAACTATCAGAGGTAGACGGCGTAGATGAACGTTCTTGCTGCCCGAAACCCGTGGTATTCAGTTCGGATAGGTCAGAGAACGGCGATCGGAGCTCGCGATTGCTGTCTATAAGTGATGCTTCAGGGTGCTCATAGATGGTTTGAGATCCTTCCTCAGTATGACTCGACGCAGACATTCCTTCTTGATCCGTTACGGAAGTAAGCACAGACCGCTCGGTTTCTTCCGATTTGTCACCAGTTGAGGCGAAAATGTCTATATCTGTATCATCAGAAGTAGGAGTGAGATCGACAAGAGACGCCGAACGGTGACCAGTGGATGGAATATCTAAATGTAGTTTATCACTGTCGGTCATGGTGTCCGCCGGTCTGATCTCGCTCACGGAAGCCGACGCATCTGGCTCTTTGGCTCCACGGTGGACAAGCTGCGATGACGGCAAGTCCACGGCGGTCGAGTTTGCAAGCGTACTGTCAGTCGGCTCCCGACTGTCCGGCCGCAACAGGTTTCCGTTATCGTCCACAAGGGCGTCGAAAGATCCAAACAAACCACCCTGACATCGCTTCCGACGTTCTTCGAGAGCGGCAGCTCTCTTCTGGATTTCCTCGCGAGCAATCCTTCTCCGTTCTTCTGCCGCCGGACCTACCTCTTCCGTCATAGAAATATCTTCCCTGGGGGAAGATGGCGAGTCTCGAGGTTGAATTTCATCTCCGAGATTGTGTAAAGCCAGCGCAATTTTACGACGAGAATTGTTCATCCATTCTCGGAACTGTGGCGATTCATAGACCGCTATACCAGCAGCGACGAGCGCTGCAACGGTTATGATTATCCCTTCATCATAGAGTTAGCGAAGTCCAACAGTCTAAAAAAAATTTCAATCCAGAACGCCGAAACTATCGAGCTGCTAAAGCGATGTCCGATTCATCATGTCGACAGCATAGTAGTATACTGATAAGTACACCGCCCCAGCTAGGAAAGGACATAGTAGAATCTCGGAGGCAAGAATGGATAAGTGACTTCTGTGAGGAAACAAGTTATCATACCTTTTGCGACTGGCGAAGGCATCTTGACCACCTGTACCCCTTCTTTGTTCAGTTCCTCCTCATCTTCACATCGCAGGCAGAAGAATAAATGATCGATAACAGGTGACGCTGTCATCCCGGCGCTTCCCCGCTGCGCTCCACGTGACGTCAGCAACCCTTATCCACCAGCCCTATCTATCACCCGCTTTGGGCATCCCGTGTTTTGTCCCCGCGTCTCGACGTCAACAATCAACCCCAAAGATCAGTACAAGGATCCGGGCGCATCATCAAAGGTAGAACAATCGCTTTCCAAAAGTCAAGCCAGCTCTATGTCTCGTCCGTCGTCGATTTCTCAGCGTCCCCTGACGCTGACGGAGGAACTGGAGAAGCTCGAACAATCTATCACTCTAACCCTGCAAGGTAAACAAACACTGGCCATTCACCAGTTGCCTTCATTCTAAGCTGACCTGATATCTCTCAATTGAACAGAAATTGATCATAACTTTAGTCAAGCGCACCGAATAGTTACAACGAGTATTCTTCCTCTAGTCGAACAATACGCAGAACATTCGAGAGATGTTTGGGAGGGTGCAAAGGTTGGTTACTCGGAAGAGGTCCGTTCGGCCATGGCTAATAGGTGACCAGTTTTGGAAACAATTCTTCGAGGCCAGCGCCAATGTCTCGCTATCCGGTTACGAAGAGAGGCCCGATGAAGATACAACACAAGATCAGACAGTGACAGAGGATTCCACAGACGTTACACACAGCAACCTTACCGATACCGTGTCCTACGAAACGCCATCCTCTGAACGCCACGACCATAGGGCTGACGACCTTGAGCTCACATCCCTCGGCGTATCCTCTCACAGTACTCCTCGAGTAGCCACCAATGAGAGACCTGACGAAGACACGACAATCACCTCCGCTGTGTCATATACATCCCCCTACGAAACACTCAAGCAGGAGATCCGCGAAACCGATCCCCCCTTCGATATGGACGATTCCAACCTCCCTAGCACACCAGGCCGTTCTCCAAGACTACGCGACTACGCGGGCAACCCAGCCGACACCCTCATGTCCTCTTCACCGTTCGTTCCCCCCGCCTCACACGAACAACCCTCAGGCGCCCGCCGCAATCCACACCAGAAAACATCAGACCCTGTCATGCATAGGGTCCTCGACAAGACCTATCGCGTGCAAGCCACCCCTCTAGGTAAAGGCTATAGCACTGCAACCAGCCGCTCCAAATTCACCGTCACCCCGAAAGTATCCACATCGAAATACGCCTTCGACGACTCTCCGATATCCAGTCCAGAGCCCGAAGCGCCGCAACTACACGCGGAGATCTTCTCCTCTCCCCTCAAAGCCACAACTCCCGGTACTGGCCGTAAGCGACGTCCCAGCGCCGGCCACCTCCGCATCACCCCGAAGCCGGGAATGAGCGTTTTGACTCCGGCCAAGAACGGGGGTGGCAAGCGTTCTGCCTGGGACAGTGATGAGGAATTTGACGACGAAGAGGATGAGAACTTTGGACCGAGTCCGCCCAAAACAATGCAATTCCATATTCCACAGAGTCGGCTCATGAAGACACCGGGTACGTTCCCCCCTCCACTTGCATGTGTACAGCATCATGCTAATTTAGCGGTATACAGCCAAGGAAGCATCCAAGCGTATTGTTGAGGACTTGTTATTCACTGCTGGCGTGAACGACACAACGGACGATATCATTGATGAGCAAAGTCCTAGTGTGATTCGACGGGTAGAGCGGTTGGAAGATGAGACCTTTTGATGCAAGACCATGACTCTGATGGAGCTAACTAGAGTACGAGTTAATCTGAACTAGTCAAAGACGGTTCTCAATGTAATTATATGTTGCGTTCTTTTCAGGACAATCTATTTACCTCATTCAAGGTTGTGCTAGCCTTTCAATCGCGAAACTACACTAGAGGTCGGCGTAATTTAACAGGAAATACCGCCGGATGCTAAACTGACGCTGAAATCCACTCAGCTGATAGCACGAGCAAAAGTGTCAGAAAGCTGGAGTGAATTCACTCCCTGAAGGCTCCAGTACACAGTACAAAGTTCGGGTCCGTCAATGGGATGCTTTTGTATGAAATGAAAAGATAAATATCTTCGAGCCTGCGGAATGAATACTCTAAAACGGCAAAGGGGACTAAGAACATGTGCTGCGAGAATGCATCAATGGGTATCGAGCGAATTCGCTGATCATCGGAGGGCCGGAGGTTGGGGAGAAACAGATCGAGGGTGAAGGGATGAAGGGAGACCAATAGTCGCGATATATGTACATTGCGACAGTATAAAGGATATGATAAGAAACCTGCCCCAAAAAGAAAAGGTTGAAAAGGTAAGAAAGTAAAAGAAAACGGGACGTTTAGCCACCAGCTCGAGCCTATCAGCTCTGCATACCCATAAAGACTTCTTGGCAGTTGTCCACCAAAAATTTCAATACCTCGTTCTTTTTCTGCACGTCGGTCATTTCACGGGCCAAACTCTCCGGTCTCATGATCGTGGGTGCAAAGACAACAGCAATATTCTGGCTTGTCATCAAATTTTCCTTCTCGCGTTCAACTACTCGCTTCAAGTGGAACACCAGGAATTCCAGGACGTCCTGGTGGACACGCGGCAGCTCTGCAAGGCTCTTCTGTAGAACCGAAATACGAGCTTCTGCTGAGGTAATCTCCCCGGTGTCGATGATTTTTTCGTAGACTTCATAAGTGATAAGAGGCGTTGGCAGCTTCCGGAAGTATTGCTTGAGAGCTGAGGTCACCGCATGGATATCGAGATCGGGATCGGAGATATCGTAATCCTGAGGAGACCGTTCAAACCCTTCTCGAATGGTCTGAACGGCCGAGCTTGCGCCTGATTTACGGTAAATTCCTTCCATATCCATTCCTAGCCAATGTGATTAGTTTATAATCTCAGAATAACAAGCGCTTAAAAATCTCACCTCGTAGTTCAACTTCCTGAATACACCGGGTGACAATTGCAGGAATGATGCTCTTTTCATGCTCCATGCGCTGCTCCAAATCGGTACCAAACAGGGCTGCTACAAGGTTAGCTTACTGTCAGAGGCATTTCAAGACATCGATACATACCAGTAGGAGCGAGATCTGCTAGAGCTGGAACACTATCGGTTTGAGGCATTCGAGTTCCCGCTTGCTTGTTTTTCTGATTTCCAAAGAATCCGAAACCTTGACGGCTAGGATCCTGGGTCTGCGAGCGTGGGAGACCGGGGTTCGCATCTTGAGCGGCATTGCTGTCGCTTGACATGAAGGCGCCCTTGATACCCTTTGTAACGCCCTTGGCGACGTTCTGTCCACCCTTCTTCCAGTTGAACTTGCGAGGCTGCCCCTTGCGGATACTAACGACCTGTGGTCCTGGAACGACAGTAGCCGGTTCAGCTTCCTCGGACAGATTGGCAGTAGATATGGAGGCAGAAAGGTCATTGTTGGCGGCCTTCAGCGCATCAATGGCGGACAGTGACTTTTCCTTGCCGTGGGAATAGATGCCAAGGCCATTGGCACCACGATTGCCTTCGTTTGAATTGGCCTTGTAGAGCTCTTGAATCTGGTGCACCAGTTGATTGTTCAGTTCGGCCAACTGAGCATTCTTGGAGGACAGTTGCTCGAACTCCTGAAAGCTCTTGTCCTTCATGCGGTTCAAGTTGGCAAGCTCTTCCGCTGCGTCGTTGCGTTTTTGAACCAGGTCCTCGATTTGTGGTGTAAATGACTCCTTCAGCTTATGGAGCGACTCGACAAAGTCACGCAGGACCTTGCTGGTAATTTTTCCAAGGTCAAGAGGCCCGCTGGCGCCACGTTTCTCCGCTTCTAAGTGATCGGTTAAGACGGAGAGTTCTCGCATGACGATCTCCTTTTTCGCATCCAGAACCACCATCGTGGACCGCTTCTCGTTGAGCTCCGTGTTCACCTGCTTGACGTCGGCCGTCGCGTTAAGGACAGCTTCCATTTCCGCAATCTTCTGTTCCTTCTCCAAGACACGTTGACGTTCTTTGCGTAGTTCGCTTTTGAGCCACGCCACTTCATCTGAGTGCGACGGCCCCGGGGAACCCGAGGGGCTCCCAGCATCGGAAACGGGCGTGGTACCATTGACGGGGGACTTGGGCCACTTGGCATCCTTCGATACGCGCGAGCCCTTATCGCTGAAGCTTCGGCCGTGCCGTACAGAGTTCGACACGCGTCGCAAGAAAGATTCGCTGTTCTGAGCAGCATGCGATTCCTCTGATCCCATGATCCGGGCCATATCTTCTTCCAGGGAGAAATCGCCCCCACCGCTGTACCGCAACAACGACGGCGACCCTGGAGTGTGAGTGTCCGATTGCAGAGTGCTAATCGAGCTATGACGGGCATGCTGTTGGGACGGCTCCGCATTAGCATCATTGCGGGGAGTACGAGGCGATTCGCCAACTTTCGCGGTGTTTTTCTTGGAGACCGTTTGCTCCATGGGCCGCTCCATGCCATCCTCGCTTTGAGTGACGGAGGGCGATCGAGGTCCGAGTTCTTTTCGGGGAATATGATGGTGTCGTTTTTCCAACGAATCTCCTCGCTTCGGATGAGGTTGCACGAGGCTTGAAGACGGAAATGAGCGCGTAGAATCCATCGACCCGCCTTTCTCATGCAGCTCACGAAGCTCGTTCGACGGACGAGACGGGGCGGTCACAGAACTATCCAGGGTTCTCGATCCTGCAGAGTCAACGGTCGAACTGTCCTTGAATTGCGCGCTCGACTTGGTAGACTCAGGACTTGGTGTAGAAAAGGTGCTGGTCTCCTTGAGATTGATGGGTAGATCAGCTCTGGAGCTCCGGTTCGACGTGCCCCGCTGGAGATTATCAGTAGAACGAGGTGATGCACTTGCGCTGGCTGCGACATCGTCTCCACGCCAGCGACTGGAGTCAGCGTCAGTCCGTTCCCGTCCTCTCTCCTGGTACGCGATATGGGGTGACGCGCTCCCAGCCGGAGGATGGCGGCTATTAGTCGTTGGAGGCGACTGAGTGCGCGAGGGCCGTCCTTCTTCCGAGGGGTCAAATGCGACAGGTATGAGGAATTCTCCTCCGCTCTCCGGTTCCGCTTCAGGTGGTACGACTGAGTGACGGTTGCTCCGGTAGGTGCTCGAGGGGAGTATCAGATTATCCGCTAGTACGCAAAGTCAGTAATCGGAGCGTGTGATTCGTATACTCAAGTCATGAGCTTACCTTGATTATCGGTGTGCTGGCGAGAAATCGGGGGGCGCTCATTCCTCCCACTGTCCGGGGCTCCACGAGATGTTGCATCCTCCAGGTAATGATCCAGGATCGAGTCATCTGGTGCGCGATGCGACTCAGGTTCTTCGGGCGGAAGGGAGGGCAGCGATTTGTCAAGCTTCACGCCCGGTCCTTGCTTTTTACTAGTGGGTACACCAGCCTTCTTCTTCCTCCGGCGTTGCATCAGCGATTCATGGCAGTCCATACAGAAGATGCCCTGAGAAGTTCGCGCATAGCGCAAGTTCTCAATTTTCCTCTTGCAGTTTCGGCACCGAAAGCACTGAGCGCAGAAGGCTTGTTCACCCGTCAAAATGGCCAGGTCTTCAATCTTGTTTCCACATGAGCTACAGCTGTAGGTACAATTGCTACAGATCAACGATCCGTCGCCGAGAAGCAGTAGGTGTGCGTCCGAGTCGAGAAGGGTGCCGCATGTGCTGCAGCAAAAGCATTCGATATGCCATCGGTTGCCCGCTACGGGAAGAGAAGCTGTCAGCAAAGTTCCGTGCATGATGGTGGCCGTATCGGCCGATGCAACTCACCAAGTTCAAAAGCCTTGCCCTCCTCAAGGATCTGTCCGGTGGAAAATAGACGTTAGCGTGCGAAAAGTTACCCCTAGCTCGAATAGAATTCGCGCATACCTCTCCGCAACCCTTACAGGGGAAGGGAACATCATCTTGTTCCATAGGAGACTCCGGAAACATGCCTGGAGACTCCATTCTGCACCTTGATACTCGATTGACGCGTACAAGCGATTGTATAAGCGGAGGGCGAAAGCGTCTCCGAATGCTAGTGAGGCGAAAGACTGGCGCGCCTTCAACGTTATATGCACAATCGTAGGGAAACAATCAAGTGGTCAAGCGCGGCTGGAGCATCCGGAACGAAATCTGTCGCAAATCGCAAGACAAGCTTGATGCCGACGCTTGGGGTACAGTCGAACAGGCTGACGGCGAACCAAGCGAATCGGGCAAGGTCAATTAGGAGGGGCCGATACCAGATTCAACCGACTCCAAACCACAGACTGTAGATTATGCTGAATCAGAAAATCATGGATAATTGGGTCGTGGTAACGATAGCGAGGGGCTCAGAAACGACCCGCTATTTATCAGGGATAGAGGGGGTTTGGAGGGAGGGAAGGAAGTGGAAGAAATGGCTTGATATGCTAGGAAGCGGGAGAAAATGTCAGCTCAGGAACGACGACCGTACTTCAAGCGGGAAGGTAACAAGGGTGCAGTTAGTTGTAAGCTAGTAGGCGAGATGAGTTGTAAAGCAGATCTTAGACGCACATACCCCAGACTCAGCCCAGGGCCTCCCATGCAGACAACATCCGCCTTGGAACCCTGGCCTGTGTCCCACAAATGAACAACAGAGCAGATAGACAGGGGGGGGAGGGGTGGCCGACCCCGGAGAGGGGGGACGGAAAAGGATTTGGGGCGGTGATACGAGGACATACTTACAGAGCAGAGAAAGAGGTTTAAAAGGGGGCTGAGAAAACAAACGAAATAAGGAAAGGAATCAAGACGAAACACGCCAGGCGAGAAGGATTAGAATAGACAGGTAGATGGAAAGGTAGTAGACAGGACAGGATAGCCTACCTTAGCAGAAGCGAAGCAATGTGTTGTTTGTTGGGTCAGGGAGAACAGAAAGTGTCTAGACTAGTAGATAGCTAGATGATAGCAGTACCGACAACTTCTGGGAGATTGTTTCAGATAAACTCGGGCGGTGTACCAGCAGAAAGGCGGAACGAAGTCTCGACTGTCCTCGAAATTAGATAGAAAGTAAAGCAAACACGTGGGAGGATCAGCTATAACAATAAGAATGATAATGATAATAGGATTACCTCTCTATCGGTGGAAAGATCAAGAAGAAGAAAAGACAGATACAGGGACGGAGGGAGGGAGGAAACAGAGACAATAGACAGACAGGAGGAGGTTGGATACTGACGCAAAAGCGAAGGGATGAAATAATATTAGATGGGAGGATGAGGTTACTGTTGTTATTATTTTGCTTTCTATCTATGTACTAGAATACTAGTAGATACTACTGGCCTCTTCCTAATCCTCTGATATTCCTCTATTCATACTCCGTAGAGATAATCATAATGGACATTGTTGTCAACCAGATCAGATGGATGAAACTTTCAAGCCGTCTACCGTTGTTCCAGGTGATGCTATAAATATGCCCCTCCTTCATCCCCTCCAGAATGATTCAAATTGTTACTGAATATCGTTATTTTCTACGCCGCGCAATACCACCTATTTGGTAGGTAGAGGGGAATGCGTCGTACAATTTCACAACATCATAAGGTCATCGCATACACTCGTGTGTTTGCCTCGCAGGCATCATGATCCAATACCTCTCTACGTACTTGGACGCAAAAGGTCAACTCGATAATGGCCAAGCCGGTAAAGTAAAGTGTACCTTTTCACCTCTTCCACCCTAAATCTCATCTCAAAACTCTGTATCTAGGTCCGCTGTATAAAGCGAGTCTGATCAGCCGCTGCGACCGTCCCGTTGTTCTCTGACAATCCTGAAACAGCCGCTCCAGCTGTGCCGCCCGCTCTGACCACCATCTGGAAGGACCAGTATCGTCCACGAGAGATAACCAAGACTGAGGGCCATGGGCCTAGCCAGTCTGCTCTCTCACAAGTCACAAACTGGACAGATCCATTTCTTCTCTCCATCAGCTGGTCTAGACACACGGGAAGGCTGAAACGCTGGGGAAGAAAAAACAAAAACAAAAAATAAAAAAATAAAAAAATAATAAAAATAAAAAAGATGAGGAAAGAGGCATGAAAGTAGAGAGGCAATAAGAATAAGCACGGTTAGGATCAGGTACAGAGTGGTCTAAATGGCGGTTCTGTACCAGAGGTACCTGAATTAGTAAGGTAGCTTTGTTGGACGCTGGTTATGAAATGGCTCCTAAATTCAAAGTTGCTCTATTGGCTAATGTCTATACTGTCAGATTATCAAACCATATCGAAACGGATATATGCTATACTTTTCGCCAGCCTTTACGACCATCAAACCCAGAATCCCACAGCCCAAGCAAAAGACATGAGTGTATATACGAATCCCGATATAAGCTTCTTTCCGTATCCCTTTTATTTAAAAATAATCTCAAGTCTCCAGCGATTGGTGAATCACACTCGTCCGGTATGTCTCGCTCCGCTGGATCAGCTGCTGGTGTGTACCTTGCTCAATGCATCTGCCGTCTTCGATCAAGAAGATCTGATCGGCCCGATGAATGGTATTCAGTCGATGAGCGATGGCCACTACTGTGGTCCGGCCTGCCAGGGTCGCCAGCGCTTCCTGGATTCGCTTCTCCGACTCCACGTCTAGCGCGCTTGTCGACTCGTCCAGCAGCAACAAGCGCGGCTTGCGCACCAGTGCGCGGGCAATCGACAGTCGCTGGCGCTGTCCACCCGAAAACTGCTTGCCGTCATGGCTGCACATCGTCTGATACCCCTGGGGCAGAGTCATAATGACATCGTGGATGTTGGCCATGCGACATGCCTCCTCGATCTCCTGTTGTGTGGGCTCGTGGCCGGGGCACGCGCCAAGTCCGATGTTGAAGGCGACGGTTCCCTCAAAGAGAACGTTCTGCTGAGGAACCAGCGCAATATCATCGCGGAACTCTGTCCCGACATGACGAGTGACGTCCACACCGTCGATGACCACTGCACCGGCAGTAGGTCGGTAAAACCTCTCCAGCATGGCAAACGTGGTCGATTTGCCTGATCCGCTAGGCCCCACCAGAGCGCAAAACTGGCCTGGTTTGATGTCAATGTTGAGACCCTTCAAGACCGGGCGTTCTGGGCGATGTGGATAAGTAAAATGGACGTCGCGCAGTTGGGCGCCCATACCACCCCTTTCAGCGGCCCGTCGCCGTGCAGAGCGAGCATATTCCTGCGCCTCAATGTCCTGCTCTGCGGCTTTCTCCTCGAGAAGACTGCTGGAAGGCTGAAAGCTGTGCGATGATCCAGGTGTCACTTCATCCTCTGCCGAACGGGTAGTCAGCAGTTCAACGATATTCGACGAAGCCACCCCGGCTTTCGAGATATCCGGCGCAAGGGCGAACATCTGCCCACAAGATTGCGTGCTAAACAACAGAGCTGGCATGACAATGAAAAATTGCGTCTGGGAATAGCGGCCCTCGGCGATCTGTTTCGAACCCCACCAGTACGCCAGGGCATAGACCAAGTTGCTGATGCTAAATGCCAATGCTAACCATGCGTTCCCGTGGAACGTGGCTTTGATGGTAGCCCGGTAGGGACCTTGAAGTGCACGACCATAAACCTGGTACGATTGCTTCTCCAGAGAGAATGCAGAAACTGCGCGGATGTTGTCGACGGCCTCGATGGTGATCGCTGTAGCTTTCGCAAACGCCTTCTGATGACGTTCCGCGAGTTGTTTTTGCACTCGGAGCTTCATCATGCCCGACACCAGCAAGACTGGAATTGTTGGAAACAATACAATCGTGATCTTCCAAGCAATTGCGAACGAGATCACTAGACCTGCTATCAAGTTGACCGCAGTCGCCAGCAGGAGCCCTATGGTCGTGCCGGTAATGCCACCCAACGCGGACGCGTCACCAGTGATGTACGTTAGCAAGGTCCCAGGAGTGCGATCCTCCGATTCGTGCCAGTTCACGGTTTGGCCCAGTAACGAGCGTAAAGACAGCACTCGAATTCGATACAAGACTTTATCGGCAGCCCAGCCGAAAGCACAGCCACCCACCACATTAGCACCAAATTCCACCAAAGCCAAGATGAAGAAGAGTAATCCGTAGAGATTGCCGTCGTGGCTGATGGCTTCAGCCGATCTGCAAGGACTCAAACTTCCAACCGTGTGACCAAATACAATAGCCTCTGCCGAGTAGCTGCCGCCGATAATGACAGACATGGCAAGCCCTAGCATAACCCAATGCAAGTTGGGACGTATCAGGGCGAATGTGTACCGTGTGACGAACCCCGCAGACCGTGTTCTCTTCTTTTTCTTTTTGGCTTCCTCCTCACTTCCATCACGAGAGTCTGGCGGTGTATCAGCAACAACCGTGTCCTCCGTGATGTCTGACCCGTTAACGTCAGCTAAAGCTTGTTTTTCGTCCAACAACTGTCGTGTTTCTGGAGTCGCGCTCAGTTCACTGATTATGTCTCCCGAGATTACCCTATCGTCCACAGATAGCTTTCCCAGGTTCTGAAGCCGCACCATCTCTGCGTAGACCCCTCCCCGCGTAACCAAGTCCGTGTGGGATCCTTCCTCGGTAACACGGCCACTCTGGACCACGACAATCTTATGCGCATTTTTGGCTGTTGCTAGCCGGTGGGCGATCGATACAGTCGTAACTCGCTCGGATACCTTGCTCAATGCGGCCTGGATAAGCTGCTCACTGGTCGAATCAAGGGCCGCAGTTGCCTCGTCCAAAATCAACAGGCATGGTTCCCGAACCAGGGCACGGGCGAGAGCAATTCGTTGCTTCTGACCACCGCTCAGCTGATTCCCTGCTGTACCCACGTTTGTGGCGAGACCATAGGGCAAAGCTTCAATAAAGCCCAGCGCATTCGCATTGGCAGCCGCGTCTTTGACCAATTCCACAATCTCGGACACACAGCTGTCGTACTCGCGGAGTGCTTCTTTCTCTGAAACGCCTCCTCGGATTTTTTCGGCAAGATCGGGCAGACTCGAGTCGAGGATAAAGGGGGAGAGCCGCTGATGCCGCTCCACCGCAGACGAGACTAAGCCATATGCAATATTTTCCAGAATGGAACGATCCAGCAAGGAAGGTTCCTGTTGTACAAACCCGATGTTCCCGCGCAGGTATCTAACATTGATGTCCCGGAAATTTTTGTCGCCGATCAGAACATCCCCTGAATCGGGATCGTAGAAGCGCTCTAGAAGCGCAACGACTGTGGACTTTCCACCGCCGGAAGGACCCACGATCGCTGTATGCTTTTTGGGTGGGATGTTGAAAGTCACTCCTTGCAGGACTGGGACATCCGGGCGCGAGGGATACGTGAAGTGGACATCCCGGATGCAAATATCCTCCTCACCGAATGCGGCAGACTTATCGCCTGAATCAGACGTCCCATCAATGGCAGAAGGCCTGTTGATCACCTGCAAAAGTCTCTCCGAAGCGCCTGCAGCCGAGGCGAAAACATGGATGAAGGGTGCAACCTGACTGAGAATGAAAGAGGCGTCGATGAGGACGAAGATAACGGTGTAAACCGCACCGACAGAGGCTCCGGAATTTCCGTCAGCCACCGATTTTGAAATCATTTGGGATCCTTCCCAGAATGCCAGGGCGTTGGCGGAATAGGCGATGAAGTAAAGACAGCCCAATTGTGCCGCGTGAGTAGTAGCTTTTCGGACGGCATCTTTCCTCGACTGCAAGAGGTAGCCGGCGAAACGCTTCTCGAGCCGGTCGTTGGCATTGAAGGCATGAACAAGTGTCAGATGCGACAGACTGGAGGAAGCTATGGATGTGGCTGCATTGACCTTCTCAGCCAGACGACCCGCAAATTTCTTGATGTAATGCCCCCCACCAAGTGCCATCAAGAAGAAACAAGGAACCACAGAGACTAGCATGCCTGCAATCTTGGGCACTTTGATGAAAGCAACCACATAGGCGGCCACAAAGTACGACAGGGTTGAGATGACGAGTCCCACCTTCTCCGATGTACCGGACTGCACAAGTTCAATGTCGCTGACCAGACGCGAAACAACATCACCCGAAGGAAGTGATTCGATGAAGTTGGCCTCCTGCTTGATTATACTCTCAAAGTAACGGCGACGGTAGCGGCGTGCCAGGCGCTCACTCACCAAACACCAGCAAGTGCTGTGGGCGTAGATGAAACAAAAATTTGCGATCGTGATGTAGATGACATACAACACCTTCGTCCGCACTGCCGAGGAGAGGTCCGCAGAAGCGCGATCCGAGGAGCTGCAAGTCACCGTATTCAGGTCGTTGATCAGGTCACCGAAGACGATACCGAGTAGCGGGAAGGGAATACCGGCGCAAACGGCGAAAAATAAGCCCCCAATTATGAGCAGAACATCGGCGATCGTGTAGTCCAAGGAGAAGAGGAGTCGCACATAAGCGAAGGACTTGCCCAAGTCGTCCTTGGTGGGAATATGCCTGGTCACTTTTTGCATCTTTTCAGGAAGCTAGACAGGAGATTAGCTTGTTCTGAGATCCTCAAGCATGAGAGGAACCGTTGACGTACTACTGATGATGCATGGGTGCCATTGGCACCATTGGAGCCTTTTGGGCCGACATTGACTGGCGGTGACTGTGACATGATTCTTCGCGAGACAGAGAATGCCTGGATACCGCGACCTCAATCAAAAGATGCGAGACGGCAGAAGCGTGGTTGACTGCAGAATTCGTGGATCGTGGTAGTCGCTCCGTGGTATCAATTCAGAGTCCAAGTCTATCAATTCGTGACGACACAAGTACAGCCCATGCACTGTTGTACTCTGCATTAATTGGTTCGAAGTTGCTTTTCAATGGTCAAGTCTTGCAGGAAAGCGTGCGAAGGATATGCTCGTCCGCAGAGAAGCCTTCCAGCTCAGGGACAAGAGCCTTGACGAGCGCGAGCTCCCAGGAGGGAGAGTTCTCACTGATAAGCCAGGTAAATTTCTTGTCAGACAGACATTTTAGGAGCATCTCAAGATCGGCAGGACATCACTGAGCTTGAAGATGAAGCGTCGACTTAAGATCCGGTGATTGAACACAACATGCTATGAGAGATTGCTGTGAGGAAAAGTAAAAAGACAAGGAGACTATACCAGATATGAGGAAGAAGAGAAAGAAGAACAGAACGGTGAGGGACCACATGCTAATCTACAATTGGCATATGGGGCGGCATACACTGAAAGGGGAGGGGAAATCCTCCCATGGCGATGGCTCCGGTTGCGGCGCCGATTAAAGATTTGGTCCTCAGGTCCCGTTGACGCCATGGCCAAAGAGACACAAGGAAGGACGAAGAAAAGAGGGTCCCGTTGTAGCCGAGTGGAGGAACTCAGGAAAAAAGAAGCAAGCTAACGGGAAAATGAGAGGTGATGAGAGAAAAGACAGAAGAAGGAAACCCCACCTTGGCCGCAGCGACGGGGGTAAGAAAGTGACTCGTTGGTGAGATGTGACTTGTGAGGCAGAGTATCAGAAAACACAACTGCTGCAGCAAACAACAGGTGGGAAGGAGGGAGAAAGTGGATGGACGGACATGGGTTTAGCCAGTGAGAGAGACGCAGGAAATGAAGAGACCCAATGGTGGAGCAGCGACTACGACCCATCATGATCTGTACTTCTCTAGCTACGTAGTTCCATTTGCTTCGTCAGCCTGTTTAGGGAAAGCCTACTTGACAATCAGAACTTATCAATCTGATTAATTTCTGCGTCGCTAACCGAGGTGAGACGGTGAGACCACTTAAGCTCTCCGTACAACGTACTCCGTAATGCAGATAGCATTATGACCAGTTCAAGTCAAATGAACACATGGAAAATCAAATGTAACCAAAGAGAAAAGGGCCATCCACTCTTGACAATACAGACTCAAATTCGATGCCGTAATTGCCAAGTCCTATTTACAACTTCATGTATCTTGGCGTGGGACTTTGTGGCCGGAAATCTTTCATCTGATAACGCTGTTTGCCGAAACGCACTACGTACCGTACTAGGTAGCCACCAATGATCATTGACCAACGATCGGAAGGAACAGTATGCTGCTAGTCCACTGTCGCAATGTCTCAGTTTTCCACTTTCCTTTTTGTTCAGTCCTTCGGGAATTTTCTGCAACCTGCATGCAAGGCCACAGTGGCACCAACAGGTTTTTTCCACTATTGGGGTGTAGCTAGCTGTAAGCCCGCACCAAGCTGACTTTCTCAGTAGGGGCTGAAAAATCAGCCGCAGGCCCATAAAGCAACGGTTTTCTTCGACTGCCACAAGTCTGAATATCACAGTGATTTGATTATACCAGTATTGCTTACGGGGGGCTATTGAGAATGAATCATTCGACCTTTTCCCACCGGGTTCCGGTCGGCCCTCAAGTCTGGGACAACTCGGTGATCGTCATATTCCAGAAAAGTTAATACCAGCAATTACACAGAGAGAAAAATGGAAGACAAAGAGGGAAAAGTTCGCAGATCCAACAGCTTCTATACTCCATCTGGCAGGTAGTGTTCTCTTCTCCTTTTTAAGTTCTTTGTCGTTTATCTAATCTGATCGATTGATAATTTCAGTTTCCGACGCCAAGAGGGCCCAAGCACGCCAAACCGCTCGCCACCTCATTTCGTCGACATGAATCCTCAGATAACCGCTCATAAAAGGATATCAATATTCCCGACTACTGATCGACCATCTCCTCCCATATTTGATCCGGGCGCATTTAAGAGACCAAGTTCCCAAGGAGAAACATAGCCAACTGGCTCATAGAATGCTAAGCCGATCATTACGTAGCAGTAAATTAACGACAGGATACCCCTAACCAAACCCACAGTCGATTTTTCGAGACTCCACATGGTCGAAATCGCAATAGAATATTAGCTAGCTGTCCCATTATTCCATGATGACCCGTCTAATCCACTCAGATGAGTCAAGAGTCAAGAGTCAAGACCCAAGACTCAGGCTATTTGTGCTCCTTCAGATATGATCTAATCTGATAATCATCTAATCAGATTGACCGCCAGTGTCTCATTGGATGCGCGAACAACCCCTTTTACGAAAGCCATTGTCCATGCTGCATGGGTACTAGGTATCTCAGACAGACTACCTGCTGAGTACAGGTACCTGCTGTGTTTGGATCCGTATCGTTCGTCCTCAGTCGAGGTGGGCTAAGAAAGCCTATCGTCTTCAGAGCGGCCATCTTGTAGCGTGCAGTACTCTGTTCATCCGCTATCATCGGGTAATTTTACTAACTGACTGCAGCCCTTCGGTGTTTCAGCATTTCCTGTCGCAGGGACTTCCCCGTCCCGTCCACACATCTATTGTGCTGATACAGCCTGGCTGACAGGAAAAGGTCCGGAATAAAACAAGTAAGGCGCAGGGCGAAGAGAAGCGCGAGGAGAAACTATGGTCTAAATGTTCCGCTGAACACAACGATTTATTTGCACTGTAGCAGAACGGACTCGTTAGTATTTAGTTAGTTACTAGATACAAGATTTTGATCGATCGGCCAGCAGGTCTACGATCATTTCACTTTCACTGCATTCTGGCGTCTCGGATTTTGGTTCTGACAGAGCTAACCTGCAAGAGCAGGATAGCACGAGTCACAGAAGCATGTGTCAGAACATAGCGATTGGAGAGCATTAAAGACGCCACTCTGCATACCCTATGGTTTGGATTTAGGAGAACTGACAAAGGGGATTTCAGTGGGATATTGTAGGGGCTGGCAAGAGACGGGTTGAACGAATGAGCAACGGCTTACTGATTGACGAATTCTGGATCCCTACTGCGCGACTACGAATCTAAAGGACAGCTAAGAGATGTTACGCTCGGCCCAGTGCTCTCCGTCTCTCGAGCTCCAGGTAAGTGAGGCGATATAGCCGAGATCGACCATCCGACCGATGAGCTGTAGTCAGTACGTGCCAATGATACCATGAGTAAGGTCCAAACGTGCAACGGTAAAGCCATGCAGTATAAAGATGATGATAATGAGGTTGTTCGTGATAAAATACAGCGCTTCCTCACTTCTTAAGGATATAATAAGTCAACAAATTTCGGGAATTTTCCCGAGGGTGACCTAATACTCGCCAGTATTCCTCCTCGTTGGCGACCATTCCGTGTAACTGCACACATAGTTGAACAGCGAGCCTCCTCACATCGGGCTGGCGATCAGCTAACTTGCTGGCAGCAAACTGTCCGAGACGCTTCAGAGGCAGTTCCGGTACGCGGCACTTGTCGGCATTCAGACGACTGAGAATCCGAGTCAACACACTAACTCCCATGAGGATTGACCGATACTCGCGATCATCTTCCTCCTCCGTAATGATAACATCCAAAACAGAATCAATAACAGCAGCAGGCTCGCAAAGGGCAATAATATCATCGGCCGTTTCCTCTAACCCGCTCACGATATGACAATTGGCATCATAATACTTGCGAGCGAGCACCAAGGCACCCAGAGCCTTGGAACAGTACGCCGAGAAGTAAATCTTGTTGTGGGTAAGCATAAATCGAATCGTGAGGAGAACCTGAGTCTTCAAGTCCAGCGGTCGGCCGAGGGGTTGCCTCTTGTCGTCAGGCGAACTTTCCAGTTCGTCCAAGAGCGCCAACAACATTTCGTCGTATTTCTCCTCATTGGTAAAAATAGAATCATGATATTTGATAATACCTTGAAGCTTGCGATATCCAAGAATATCCATGGTCTTTGTGCGAATTCGTTGAATGCCTTTGTCGAGCATCTGCTGCGCCTTGGTAGGATCCTTGGAACGTGGGCTAATACTCGTTCGCCGATCCTCTGTCTCAACCTTCTTCCAGCGATGACGAGAAGGGTCGTCAATTGGTGTCGTTGTTTCATCTTCAAGTTTATTCGCAGCATGTCGAAATTGTTTGTTGGCCCGCTGCAAGGGCTCATTCGAGGTAAGTTCTCCGAGGACATTGTGCTTTGGCGGAGATCGATGTGGCAAAGATACGTGGGTTGCCTTGGAGTCCATAACAATATCATTTTCATTGTTGGCTACCCGTAATGGAGACCCAGTCACCGTAAGAGAAGACGATAGTTCGGGCGGTTTCGAAGAATCTGCGACTGGGCCGTGTTGATGGGTTACTGGCAAGGAAGGGTCCGCGAAGAGGCTCTGATCCGTTTGAGCGTCGGAATTCGGCAGTTCCGATGCTTCAACGACAGAACCTGCTCCAGTCAGAAACCCCAAACCAGGAGTAAGATGCGGGGCAGATTCATCCTGATTGCTTACCCTCTTGTTAGAAACAATTGGGGAATCAGAATGTACCTTGGAGGGTTGAGGGGTTTGATTCTCGGTCAGTGTCATGGCTGCATCATGGATATCATTGTGATCAGATTTGGCCGGCGTGGTATCTTCGAAAATGGCTACAGGTGTCGCTTTTGCTGCATGTTCTCGGGAATCGTCCGCGCTTGCATCCGGATCAACTGGTGTATGTTGTACGTGTGTAGGTGGCGATGCGATAGCAATCAAGTTGCCAGGATCCTGGACGAGATGCGAGCGAGGCGTAGAGGGTGTCTCCAGTGAGACACTGTTCGGTGAACTGGGGGTCACAGAAAACTCGCTGCGAAGCGGGGAGTGACGGGGAATGCTCTCATTTGAATTCTTTCTCGAATGAGTTGGTATTGGTTTTGATTGCTGTCTGGTGTGCGTGTCGTGGGATCGCGTCTTAGAGATAACAAGTCGTTTGGGCCGATCTCTAGTTGTGCCAACAGGGTCAGCCCTGTCACGAGATCCGGTGCTGCTAACTGATTTCGAAGATGGTGTAGAAGATTTTGACTTGGTTGCGCTTGGAGAGCCGTCAAATCGATTGCCGTGTCTTGTGCTGGACTCGGTTGCGACAGACCGGCGTGCAGCATATGGGTCCGCAGTTGCGGGACGATTGAGTTCAGGTCGGCGAGGTTTCGCCGCTGGTCGCACGGGCGCAGAAGAAAGTGAAGATAGAGAGGTGCCTGTTGGCACTGTCCGAACAGATGATTTGGAAGAGGATGGAGCCGAAGAATGTTTGTCGGACAGAGCCGACTGCGCGGATTCGGGGCGAGGAGGTGGCACGGCTTTCGCTGGTGCGAGCCGAGCTTTTTTCTGTGCGGCAATCGCTTCTTTCAGAGCAGAGCGCCCTGCGAGAGAGGATGTACTGCTTGCCAGTCCCTTGCGCGAGGGGGCAGAATCCTTCGGGGCATTTTGGTGCGCATTGGGGTTGGCGGGGTCCTTTTCTAACAAAGAACGGGATTTGGGATCAAGATTTGAGAGGATACTTTTCGCAATTAGTCAGTGTAGTACATTATGCGAGACAGAGGGACACTTACTCATTTGCTCTGTTGGGCCACACACGGTAATACGTCCAGAAAGTACTGCGCATCGCCTCTCTCACACCAGGGTTAGCGTCGGCAAGGCATTTCTTAACGCTTTTCTCAATCATATCCAACCCTCCGCCGTGTTCAATCGAACTCTTATGGTGACTTTGCTTTTGGATCAAGGTTTTGAGCCAACCGGCCGCAAAAAGGCGAAGCTGGACATTTTTATCCTGACAAGCTCCAGAAACGTGCTGCAGAATACGGGTGGTGAAAGTGACATTTTCGATCAGAGCATCGACCGTGGCGTTACCGTTTTGGGCACTAATCTTTTTCATACCGCTGCAGAGCTTGATCAGATTCTGCATCATGATTTCGACCATGGAGTCGATCCGAGGACCGCATCTCTTAGCAATGTCTTGGATGAGAAGGCATCCGATGGTCGAGAGAGTCGTACGAAGTGAATTGACAACTTTGAATATGCCGTCCAATAAGGATTTCAACCCGGCAAGGTAAGCTGGGGAATAATCATCTGGCGCGTTGCCATGGGTGAGGCGCCTGAGGGCCAGAACATCTTTTTCCCGGCGGATCCAATTATCCTCAGACTCCCGACCTTCGAAGTGCGGCATCATATCACGAAACATTTCGTCGACTTGTCTCGACGACGAAACATAAAGGGCGTCGATCTTCTCACCTTCTTGGGAAGCAGGGCAAGAATTTGGCAGAGATAGCTCCTCCGCGGGGCCCGTGTGAGAGACAACAGCCCAGTTTGGCTCGCTTTTTGCAGTAGTAAGACGGCTCTTGGGGCGCTCCACTCCAATGACTGAGAAATGGCACAGGAGAGTCAGCATCGAACTCAGTAAAAGGTAGTGCGATCAGATGACCTAAGCTTACCTTCCTTTGTAACCTCCTTGTGAGTCTCAGAACGAGAAGACAAGACCGAGACTGGCCGAGGAGGCAGAGCCTCCGTGTGCGAAACAGAGGATTGTGCGAGCTCCATTCTAGAAGCCGGTCGTTGATGTGTGTCCAGCCGGGAGACTGATCGGGAAGATTGTGTTTCCGCACGAGACACAGGACGATGAACAAGGGCTTCAGCCCGGGAAACAGGTCGTGAGGCCGCATCCATATCGGAAGTACCCTGCTCGATGCTTGCAAGAATTGCATTGACGAAAGATTTTCTAACATTGTGGGCAGCCATTTGTCTTTTCAAATCGGACTTGGCTCGTTCAGAGGCGTGGCTAGTCATTGTTAGTATGCGGAAAAGTCACTCGAAAATAATGCAACCGGAGGGCCACGGACTCAAACAGTTCAATAACGGTGTTCTTGGCCGTATTTCTCACGTTGCTGTCTGCATCCTCCAGGCATGCAACGAGACTCGACACATAAGAGCGAAACAAAAGACCGTAGTTCTTAGTCATCTGCAACGGGATGGTCAGAAATGAAGAAAAGCCTCGAAGATTGAAAAGGGAACTCACATTCGACAGCCAGATCATACTCATCTCTTTGGCTCTCGGGTTTTTGCCAACAAGCGCCTGTCCAAGAACACATTGCTCAACTTCTTCGGGGGCTGCCAGCCACATGTCGGTAAAGGATTGCGCAGCTTGAGCACGAATACGTTCTTTATGATCTCCTAGACGCTCTACAAGCAAAGGATACAAAGCGCGACATTGTAGTGCGACCAAATGATGCAGCTCCTGAATGAGTAGCCGCTTCAGAAAATGACCGAGTGTGGAGAAGCCGGCTCCGGAAAGAGACGAGTGTTGGGACGCAATTGCCAGGCGTATGGACTCAAAAATCGATGGGACTGCCCCCTCCGGGACATTTTTCTGCTTGATGTCGGATTTGACGCATTGGAGATGGGCAACCTTAGTATCGACTGACATGTTGGAATTCTTCAACGCTGCCACCAACTCCGCCGCCTTGAGCTCCATCATGGAAATGATATTTTGGGCCTGGGCTTTGGTCACAACAAGAGGAACATAGAGGTAACAGAAGGTAAAGAAGTAGCACAGGAACTTGTGAGGGCTACAGGAAATGAATAGAGTGAGGACCAATGCAAGCGTGATACGGTCCCAGGCAGATGGGTTCAAGGAACCAACGGGCAATAATCTGCAAGACTCCATGACGAATGGTTAGCCAACAAGTTTCAGAGCTTCTGAAATAGAAAGCTTTTGGGATGAAAAGCGTAATGTTTGAGAAGGGTTCGAACGCAGTGTTAATCGCAGTGCAAAAGCAATTGAATCGCTGTGGAACGGGGTAACTGTGATGGGAAAGAGAAAGAGAAGAAGAAGAGGGTGGGCGAATCGAGGGCGACGGAGACATACTGTCCATAAGACGACAACGATGGAAAGTACACATACCTGGTCGAACGAGAGGCAATCGCGAGGTCAAGGCCGTTGTCAATGAGTTCCGACGGAAAGCACTGAGGGACTGCTGGCGACAAGGAAGGAAGGTTGGAGAGAAATGAGGTAAAGTCGGAGAGGTGAAGTTGGATATGGAAAGCGGCGATGGACAGAGGGGAGATGTCCGATAAGCGATTAGACGCGGCGATAAGCGCTTCGAAAGTATTCCACAGCGAGAGTGTCCAATGCGATGTAGAATAATCGCAATGTATATATGCCGGGAAATTATAGGACAGATGTCGCTGCAGAGAGTAACAGGAGTAGCGGAGCAGACTTGTCGCGAGGGGATAACTTGGTCTTGTTGCCTTTTTTTCGCTTTGTTTACCCGCTGGTCGCAGGAGCCATGGTTACGGCGAGGGAAACCGAGCGGGGGGGAAACAACTTCCTGCTTTTGGTGAGCCGATGCTGCCCAACTGCTTTGGTTCGGGCGAGGATTGAACGTACCTGGGATAATAATGTATGAATGCGATTCTCAATTGATGAGGTGGATCGAGGAGAGGTAATGTGTAGCTGATAAGATAAATGGAAAGGAGGAAGAAAGGGGTGAGCTAGGGAATCTTTTTCTGTCGCAGAAACAGAAATGTTCTATGTCAACAAGTGGCCCCTCCCGTCTAGTGCAGATAGATATATCCACCCCAGGTGCAGCGAAGAATCAGTTGAAATTCTGCTTGGTTCTATGTATCTACTCTCTACACGAATAATCACAATACTGGATCTGTACCTCTGAAATCAAATTTGATTTCATTGAATGAGATTCCTGTTTAGCTCTGCAATCGAAGTCCACAAATGATAGTCTACTCCTGGCAGGTAACTCGACGTCATGTCCGAGGTAGTCAACTCCGCGCGATCGCCCCTCCAACAGGTGGATCTTTTCAATGGAAGACACTAGGACCATGAACATGCGGAGACTGGAATTGTTGACTCGAGGGGTGGTTGGTTGACAAGGTTGATTGCAAAGAGATAATTTGTGAAGCTGATTGGCAGTCTTGTTTGCATGAACCTCCGTACTATACTTAAGACCTGGAGTATAGGTAAGGCGCAGGTACTAAACCTGTACCTACATTTCGCATACTTCCGCCTAACAAGAATAAGTATATCCTGCGTACCGGAGCTCACGGTATCCTGCGGCTAACGCTACTGTCTCGGTTCTACTTAACGAATCTCATACCCGTGTCCAGACATGCGTCGACTTCCAACTGGAATCTGTCATTATTAATTTTGGGCGATAAAAGCTAGGACATCCCACAGTTCCGTCGCATCTCTCAAATAGTCTCTGTCCTGATCCAGAGAGGCAGCTGTGATGACATCTTCGATAAGCCCACTTCCCTCCGCAATCCCCAAAACCATTCCTCGACCCAATGACTCCCAATCTAGTCAGGGTCAAACGACATCAGGTGAAATCTCGACAAAGCCAGAACCTGAGCTTCCCAGGCCCAAATTCCGTCTTCACCTGAACGATCTACGGCATCCGGCTACGCGATCGTTCATTTCCCTAGTCCCCGATGTGGCATCCACTCTCGAAACCGCGCTGAAAGCAATTGTACGACACCTTTATACACCCCCCTCACCCTCGCCAAACCAGTCGAGCAACACCCCGGCCAAGAAACATCCCAAACCGTCCTTCACACCATGTATCCCTCCCACCCGCTCCGTGACAGTCCTTGTACGTGACATCAGTGGAGTAGCGTACACCACCGGCATAGAGCTCGACGATGACCATAAGGAAATCCACTTGTCCCTATCATACATCAAGTCCAGCGCGGAAGAAAATCCAGACCCTACAGCCGAAATTACCGGCGTCTTGACCCATGAGCTGGTCCATTGCTACCAGCATACAGCGCCGAAGGGAGATGAAAATGCCTCCGTGCCTCGTCCGCCGGGTGGCTTGATCGAAGGTATTGCCGATTTTGTTCGTCTGAAAGCGGGCCTCGAGCCTCCGCATTGGAAGCGACCAACATCTGCCAAGGAGCGACCGTTGAAGTGGGATCAGGGTTATCAACACACGGCGTACTTTCTGGCGTGGTTGGAGGATGTGCGGGTCGGGAAAGGTGCTGTTGGCATGCTAAACGACAGACTGCTGAGGGTCGGGTACGTAGGCGAGGAGTCGGAGTGTGAAAATCAAGACACACAGAGCTTCTGGAGGGGCCTGTTCGGGAAGGGAATTCCGGAGCTTTGGGAAGAATACGGCGAATATTTGGATCGCTCTAGGAATAGTGGTAACTGGGAGGACGAGATCATCAATCCCGAGTAACGTGAAGTGCTCTAAGAAAGATAGGTACACACTCGAGGTCCTCCCCGGGGAAGGTAGTACTAGGTACTTATGTCTCGATTTCTGTCCAGTAACATTTCAGACTGTCTCTCTTGGGTACTCCTCTATGCTGATACCTGCTAATGTAAGTATCCATTTCCTACCCACATTGTGTTCCGATGTCCAACCTCTGGAGGCAGAGGAAGAATCGGGAGATTTGACCAAAACAACGGCATGACAACAGGAAAAAATAAACAAAATACGAAAGACATGGAACGAATAGAATAGATTTGCCCGTACTGTACAACACCTGATCTTGCAAACAAGTAGTAAGGAGAAGATTGTCGAACTGTCCCTTGAACAGTCATTTATGTCAATAATACATCACCATCGCGACATTGGCATCGGATTGCTTTCCAATCTATCTTACACAATCACCTCGCCCAAGTCGACATAGACAGGCTTCCAGGGGGCAGCGCCCTCTTCTTCCATCGAGCTGGGCACACGAACGTTCAATGGGCTGTACAAATACCAGCCCTTCAGGGCGGCCACAGCGGCCCTCGATCGGGCCTCCATCAGACTGGCGCCAGCGCCTTCGCCCAACTTATCCTGACCAGAGTAGATACCGACAACAAAGACAGGGTGTCTGCTCTTACGACCAGTTTCACTGATGATTTTGGCGACAGGGCGTTCGAAGTTCTCTCGCGCACACAACCGGGTGAGGTCACGAGCCGGTTGGGAGAAATTGAACAACTCGGAGATGTTGAGGTGTCGTGACAGGATATGCTGCTCAAAGAAACGCTTGGCAGCAGGGCGGCCAGCATGCAGATAGATGGCGCCCATGACGGCGCGTACGAAGGTAGCACTGGCTTGTTCGGCCGTGACGCCTTGAGCGTTGTGGGATTCAGCGACAGCCTGGGCCGCTGAGTCGGCGACTTCCTTGACTGGATCACCGAATTCGTTGTCGTAGACAACTCTGGACGTAATCGACTTCCTCCATGACTTCCGATGGTCGTTGGGCCTTGCTGTACCCGTGACTGATTCTGCATTAAGATCCGTGCCGGGAGAGACCCTCCTGAACTGCAGAAGGCCAGGGTCCACCTCTCCTCCAGGGGCGACAGCCATCTCGACACCCCATTCCCTAGCCATTGCAGAAAGTGTTTTCGGTCCGACGTACGCATACATGGCCGCAAAGATTACAGTCAGAGGAAGTCTAGGATATGTGCATATGAGGTGTTCGGAGGTGTAGTTCGTGAGAAGGTCATGGCCCAACGTAGCCAGCGATTCATTGTTGAAATCTGGATTCGGATCCGCTGAAACGTCCACCAGCGCGCGAGCTAGTGTTTCGAGGGGTAATCGAGAGGGGAGGTAAAGTCGTGCATGGAGCGCAGCGAGTTTTGCGGACTCGCGTGCGGCTTCAACCGGGGGAGAAGGGAGGAGGTATCTCGACTGTCGTGAGTTGGAAGGAGGAATTGGTGAATGCAGAGATTGCTCTTCAATCAGCTGGTGGTCTTCGGCTTGAAAAATAGGCGAAGATGTCGATTGATACCGCAAACTAGCACATAGACGCTGGTGCAAGCGGCCGTTGGTTCGTGCCCGTGGTGAAAGGACCGAACTGCTCCATCGAAGGAGCTGCAGCCTTTTCATCTGGACAAATGTGTTATCCCCGAGGGGCTTGAGCCAGCAGAAACCAGGAAAAAAAAGGTATGACCGTCCAGAAAAATGCGGCGCAGGGATATGGGGAAATCCAGACTGCTCAAGTATATAGGCATGCGAACTTTTGGTCGCTGGAGAAAAGTTGAGCTCAGCGGAAGTCACGGGATCGGATGATCGTGTGCTGGCGCTAAGTCATTTTTGGTGCTAGCGTCACGGCTTCTCTGGACGAGGGACGTCGATGGCCAAGTCGGCTTCAACCAGCCTGAATATAGCGCTTTTGCCGCAAGCCATTGTCAAACCGTTTATTCGTCCATTCATTTATCTTCATACAGACAAAGATGGGTGGAGGCGGAAAGATCCCGTATGTGCTTGATTCTACCGTGATGCGGTAAGATGTTGCTACAGTGGGCTAACTCATCCACCTCGCAGGTACCCCAAGGAAGTCTGGTCTCCAGCTGGAGGCTGGTATGCTCAGCCTGTAAACTGGCGAGTCAACACTGCTATCATGGGCGCTGCTATGCTTGGTGTTATTGCGGTTACCTGGAGCATCAGTGCCGAGCGAGAACATCGGGACAAAATGCCAGAGCCCGGCAGATTCTTCCCCAGTCGCTAGTCAGTGGACGACCCTCCCCTTTTCCATTATGTGGGAATCGCATGCTGATGATACAATTTTTTTTTACCCCCAGCTGGAGCAAGCAAATCATCGAACACGAGAAGCAGCAAGCTACCAAACAATAAAAGCGCGTTGGTGGGAAGAGAAGTGGAAACGAGGGAAGAGTTATATGGCATGATTGGTATTTGTTTCATCTATTTGCGG